CAAACACCAGGAAAGAGATTACCCTATTGGGAAGTAAAGTGAGGTAGCTTATTTCTTTCACACATAACCACTTTTTACAGTTATTTTTACCCTCCTGTATGTTATGATGGGTCTCCAATTTCCACCATTTATTCCTTTGATGCTGCTCTGTGGAGGCTTCATAGTGCTGCGCTGATTAAACTCATTTCTCTGATGTTTAAAGTGATGTGTCTCACTTGTTCTGTTTTGGGATCACGTTATCACCTGACATGGGACTAACGTTAGCAGCATTTGTAATTGTGTTCCATTGACATTTGTCATATTCCTGCCATTTAATGTCTTAAACTCATTTTATCTCTTTAGCATTTCCGAATTCCAAGAAACTTTTTATAGCGGATTTCAAAGTTTTTTCAGAGGCATGTTTTTTCTGCAGTGAATAGATGTTCTTCACAATTACGGTTGTAGATATCTGTGTATATGTATTTATGAAAGCGTTGATCATGTAACTTCTCCAAAACCTTTTAAGTTCTTGAAAATTGTTTGCTGATTGACATCAGTGTTCTCTCATGACTTAATGAACAGTAAAATGACTCCAACATTTCTCAAATTTCAACGCTTTGATCTATTTTCCTTTTGAGACTTAAGCAGCCATATATCTGATCTCTTCCTAATGATGAACAAACTGACTGTGTCTAACTGCTGGCCTTTTCTTGAACTGTGCAGTGAAACATCATTATAAAACCAAGGTCATACAAACATGTTGTATCACTTTTCTGATGAAACGCCTAATTGCTTGCTAATCAGGGAAGAATGACAATAAAAGTAATAGTGTGGTAGATCCTTGACCTCCGCTCTCACTGCAAATAATTGTCTGACGTTACCATTTATGGTCATGCATTCAGCATTATCACATAAGCTTTTGATGATTTCATTACTGTCTGGTATTCCATAGTATGCCATTATTTCATGTAGAAATTTTAGCATACTGCAAAAGATCTTCTGCAACCCCATAAAAGGATTATTTATTACATATGGCTTTCTGTTTAATAATAACTCTGAGAATAATAAATTGGTCTGTACACGATCTTCAGCTCTACTACCTGCTTGTTCCTCCTTGCTTTAGGGACATCCAAAATATATGTTGGGAGTCGATTTTCCAAGACACTGAAAGCAATGGGATTTTACTTCAGAGACTTTTAGGTTTTTTTCTTCTTCTTCATTCTCACTTCTGTTAAAAGCACCAAGTGTACATAGATAGTTGTTCTGCAGGTGTTTCTAGAAGTTCTCTGGGTCATAGCCTTCTTAAGATGGACAGTGTTCTGTCCATGATTTTCTTTCTCCCCCCCCCCTTTTTTTTGAAAAGTGCTTTCTTTCAGTTCAGAACTCTGAGTTACACTAGATCTCCTACTTAGAAATCCTGTTGCAACTTTGCATAAACATGGGAAGGCTTGCCTGTTTAGATCATTAACTCCAGCTCCTTAAGACCTCCCCTTTTCTTTCTTCTACCACTTGCAGTATCTTTGGTGTTTATTCTCCCTGTCGTTTGCTTGTCCATCTGCCTCATTTAGTCTCCAGAAAACTAAAAGCAATCAGTTGAATTTTATCAATGTAATAAAAGCTTTGGTCCCTGCCAGTTAAAGCTTAATACAGCTAAGTGCATAATTCAATACAAGGTATGGGAGCTACTCACTGCTTCATACCTTTGCCTTCGCTACTCTAGATCCAGCTACTCTTAAAAGCATGTCAGAAACAACTAGGCTGATTTTCAGTTACATTTGTATTTACAGATCTAAATCAGGAGTGACTGTGAGCGTCTGACTTAGCTTTTTAAATGCAAACGTGAAAGTGAAATCAGCCAGCCTGGACACCTTTGATGTGCTATTGAGAGAAATGGCCAAACTGCATGGATGTATGTATGAGGTATGTATTCATGTATTCATGATGTATGAAGCTCAGCTGTTGCGCTCAGCTGTACTTGCAAAGTGGCTGGGGCTGTTTTGAAGTTTCTCTGTGATACTTCAGATTCTAGGTGAGGAGTTTTAGAATAACCTTGCTATTTTATTTTTCAGTGCATATATAAAATGTGTAAAATGTGTGTGTGCTATTACAATTTCTATTGAGCGTCTGGCACCTAAGAGGATGTAAGGGGTAGGAGTTTGTAACTACTAAAATAACTACAGAGTCTTTTAAAATTAAGTGGTTTCTATTGTGACAGAGAAGATGGAATTGGTTGATAAAACTTGGGATGTCACCCTCATTCCTGTGTGTGATGCTGCAGTGTTGTGACATTATGCAGTGCAATTGTGGGCTTAACTGGAGTCTTCTGATTTCACATGAATTTTACGCTGCTATCTGCTACTTCAGTAGTGTTATTCCGGATTTGTTATAATGTAGTTGCGGCAACAATCTCACTGCGAAAAATTCTACTCAAAATATATGAGAAAATTTAAATATGGAAGAAGTTCAGAACTGCTTTCCATATTTTTACTAGCTTTCATTTCTCAGGGTGCAGAGTTCATTTAGCAATAGTCTTCAGATAACCTTTTAACTACTCACTTTTGTTCTAATTGCTATTTTCTGACAATTCATTACCACATTTAAGTTGTTAAATCACTTCAACTGTACAGTCCATTTACAAGAAAGACTTTCCTGAAGCTGATGAATGTGACAGTCCCAATTTGATGGAAAGGCTGAGAAACAGTTAAAATAGGGAATATCAGTCAGCTCGTAATCAATGAATCTGCAGTTAACAAGAACGCAGAGAAATAAATGTTGCAATATGGGGTCTATAATTTACAGAGCAAACAGAAAAGGGGAATAAGGCATGAAATGAACAATATGTATTACATATGTATCAACAAAAGAGGCAGTGTCTATCAATATACACAAAGATTGCCTATATTCAGATTGAGGTGGATGGAAACCTTGCATATTGGCTTAACTTCACACGCTAATAGTGAATTTCTAAATACAAGGAAGAAAAAAGCACTCGGTAACATATTTTGAATTATTTAAATGCAAATGATAAAAATCAAAACTAAATCTTCCCATTTTTTTGCACGATTATAGCACTGAGGCAAGTAAACAAGACTCATTGCAGATTTTGAGGTGTTCGGTTCCAAGCCCGCTGCCTGTTTTTGCTGTTGGTCTCCTGCCCTGACATCAGATAGGAGACCAGGCAGGAGAAGGGATATGCAGTGCAAAACGAGTTTCAGCATCTGGCTCTTCTAGGAGCAGAAAGTGATTTCCTTAGCTGTGCTTTTGTTTTTAAGCAATTTCTATTTTTACAGTTATGCCGTTCCTAGCAAACAGACAAGAATATTTAGAAGAAAATATATTCAACGATATCTGTTATTCTAACCCAATATATTTTGAAGGGAATGGAGGCACACATATAATGGTAGATGTGGCTCAACGCACCTAACATCTGTAACCAGACAGGTTCTCCAGATGATGTTAATTCCCAGACAGTTCTTTCATAAAAGCACTATGTGAGTATTCAATTTTATTTCTTTCCATCTTTTTAAAAAAAAACTATTGGTGCTCTGGTTTGCCATATTTAGTCTGAGTATAATATAAAAATCTAGGTAGGGGCTGTAAATAAAACCTATGCTTTGCCTTATGATGCAAAATTTTGCATCTTTAAAATAATATAATCATACTCCTGTTTAATGTAGCAATTTTGCAAATGTAAATTTGAGATCTTTCTTATTTTCAAAACACTTTACTTAAAATGGAAGGAGGCAGATTTTGTTCACTTTGTTACTGTAAATGTCTTGTATCAAGAGCAGCCTCTGCACAAAACCCTCCCACCACCCCAGCGCCTAATGTTTTTGGTGGACTATGGCCATGTTCACACTGCACAGCTGACCCAGGCCAATGTCCCAGGCTAAGTGATGCAGGCAAGACTGCATGTGCAGGTTTTAGAAATTATTGAAGCAGAGGACCTGCTGATCGTGGATATTTTGCTCCACTGATAGTCTGCATCCTCTTTCAAAATTTGGTAGGAAAGGGAATTCTTTCACGTAGCCTTTTTAGCCACCAGCAAAGTATTATTTATTCCCTGTGTTTTTTGCACAGTTGCTGTGGACTTGCCCAGTTACCTGCTGGCTTCTAAACTCTGCCAATATTTCTATAGGCTTTTTTCTCTCTTTGTTTATAAGTGCTTTGGTAGCCATTTGAAGAGGTGTCAAGTAGCAGGTGAATAGCAGCAGGCTAAAAACTATTCTGAAAGACAATGTGACTCAGAGGAATTCACAGCAAAAGCAGACTGCAACATCTAATAAGGGGAAGTAAAACAGACTTGCCTTTGTCTAACCCATTCCAACTGCATAAAGGAAATAAGCACGGGCTTACCCTGCTGGGCTGATACTTTTCCTGATTCTGGATAACCAGCAGGTTTCCAAAACTGAGTCATGTAGCGTAACGTATATGATCACATACAGAGCAGACATTGCCTCTGCGTGCTGTTGCGCAGAAAGGCAGGGAACAGAGAGGCAAAAGTTAGACTTCAAGACAGTATTCCCTGTGATTTGCATCCTTGATGGAGGTGGGGAGGAGTTTAACATCACCAGAGCAAGGCGGAGAGATCACATTCATCTGTTCCCCTCTCACATCTGGAACACAGCACAGCAACGGAGAATCTGGAGAAACTCTGCCAGGCTGCCCTGGCCCACACTTCCTCTTATGTGATTTTCCTTGCTACTCTGACCTTTTTTAGTCATTATTAATTAACAATATTCCCATGGTTGTGAGAACGAGTTTTTTCAGTAGTCAGGATTTTGATTCCTCAACTTATAATATTTCATTTTATCACCTCCCTGGCTTGTTCTTTGTTGAGCAGTAGTAACAATTTGCCTGCTGCTTGTTGCTGTTTGATCTCCTCCTGTTAAAAGTTCGCTCAGGCTAACCAGACTGCAGATTCTTACATGGACCAGTGAGCGTGGGAGGGCCCAGCTCATGTACCTCAGCCACGAGCTGGAGGAACCACTGTGAGGCAAGCCACAACCGTTTAAGCTCATTCACTTGCAGCCTGTGACGGTGTTTGGGTTGCGGAAGGTACATCCACCAGGACCTTCAGACCACACAGGCCTTTGGACAGCCTTCAGATGGTTTCCATACTAAAGAAGAAATCAACATTAGTTGGGCCGCAAAATCCATACGCTACACGATGAAGCAACGTTATTCTAAATCAGGCCCAATGTTTCTGAGATTAATGATTTTCCTTTCTGTCCCTGCACAACACTGCAAGCTCTCCGCAGAGCAGCCAGCAGCATGCATAATGGATTCCAGACTTCTTTAGTGATAATAATATTATGGCTATACATGGTCCTCTTTGTCTCAAGTAAATAATAAAGTGATGTGCTACGACAAAATGTTTAAACATCTTGAGGATGGTTCTACCCACTACATACTATGACTTGCTTGATTTTTCTCTCTGACATATCTGTTTCAGTCATTGGTTTCATTGCCAATTCATAGCATTTAAACTAGGACAAGAAAAGAAATGATAAAATAAAAGGCACTTACATATTTTTTTTAATCCAGGAAGATCCCAAACTGCTTTACAAACTATAGGTTAATCCTGCTGTCTTTCTTGGGATAGTTTCTTAAAGCATCAGTTCTCTGCAATAAGGATACCTAAGTCTTCGGTGTTGCTGAGATTCTTGATCTGCAAAAATCACTTTCCTATTATCATCACCTAATGTCTTCTAGAATGGGCATGTTTTTTAACTGTATTAGGATAAATGTAGTGCAGGAAGGTAACAACTTCAACGACATCTGTCAACATGAAAACTTGCAAACTGTTTTGGAAAATGTTTTTAACAGTATTTAAGTTTTTATGCCCTGGGATATATGCATATCTCACAGGATTAAAAAAAATCTATTTTGTATTTTCAAAAAGCTCATCTGTAAACACGAACTGTTTTTATGGTATGATACCACCTATATATATATAAAATAAGTGTGTTTGTGAGGTGCTAAAGAAAAATACTTATTTTCTCTATGGAGGGAAAAGCCAGGATAAGTTTAGGACACGTTAAAAATGCCAACACAAACTGAAAAGTTGATTTTATAGACTGGAAACCTGCTGTTACCAAAGCATCTAAGAGGTTGGTGTCATCATCTAGAATAATGAAATTCTGGTATAAAGTACAAAAAGTTATTAATAGATTAGGCAACTTTAAAATCAGTAATGGAAATTATAAATCCAGTAACTCCATTGCACTTCTTCACTGATAGTATGATTACATTTTGAGAAGACAGTACTGAGGTCATTCACCAAATACAGACTGCAGCAGAACCGGACTCCAAAACTAAGCTTAATTTCTAGATGGCAAAATTACCGTATTTTCATGCATATAACCTGCAGATTATCTAACAGAGAAATAAATAGCCAGGCAACCTCCTCTTACTCCCCACTGTCTTAGCAATTGCTGTAGTACACAAGTCTGTCATTTTCTGAGGGAGCTGTTTACTCAAAAACCTCTTTCACATGCTAAACACCTTGCCTGTGATCACCAGTGCCTACTACCTTTTTCTTGGTATTTTTTATGTATCCAACGCAGTCTGAGTCATCTATGCACTTAGTTAAGGGCCTGTGAGTTTCAAAAGTTGCAGGTTATAAGTTTGAAAATATAGCATCTCTTGCAGTGTTTTACATGCTGAAATACAAGGGATAAATATGCTGGTTTTGCTAAGGAAACATCTACTTACTTCTTCCATCAATGAAAGGATTAGAAAAAAAAAGAAACAATTTTGTGGGAACTGAGGGGAGCACAGACAGACGGTTCACTGGGGAAGGGGTGAAGGTTACTGGAGTGACTTATCAGTGCTCATCTCCTGCAAACACAGGAGAAGGAGCATATGGGATATGCTCACCTGATCCTAACATACATTCCCCTCTTAATGCTTCAAAAAACCCAAAGAAACAGAACAACAAAAGTCAGTGATGGAAAGTGACCAAGAATCTTTCAAGAATTATTGAATACTTTCCTTTAATTTGTAATGGTATGGTGGAATTACCAAGTGATATAACCAGGCTAATATTTTTAATATATATATACACATATTCATGCAGTCATTACATTTTTATATACACACACACACACATATTAAGCTAGAATACAATTACTGTACTCCAAATGTTGGTCTTAACCTGTATGGCAATTCTGACTGAAGACTGGGAAATCAACGTGCAAAAAAGCTGAAGGAATTAGAAGAAGAAAAAAGGAGAGAAGAGGAAGGAGAAGTGAAAAGAAGAGTGCTCACAACTAAGCACAAGCAAGTCTCTATCTTAAGTAGCACTGTTAGACTCTTCTGTTTGGACAAGGCCTGCTAGAATGGTCCTTAAGTCTGATCCGCACTGGATACATCCAGTATCGACCTCTATGCCAGATGACCTCCTCTTTCACTGATCCTTGTCCTTGGGTCAAACTATCACTACCTTTTCTATTAAGAAAAATCTTCAACCCTATTTGCTCCAGATTTACACTTAAAATTAAAGGGCAAATTATGAAATAAAAGGACTACTGCTATCATCATCCCACCTACAACACAATGCTACCCAAAGGTTTCAGACCAAGCTCAACATTGTGGCTTTACATGCTCTACAGCTTCAGGAACTGCTGTCATCTTTTTTACCCTACTCATTCTTAGATCACTTTATTTGCCAAAACTCAGCATTCGGCCTTCTGGAACACTTCTAAAATACACTGGTGACTCTGTACCCTCTCTGCCCCCTTCCAAATCTTTATGCTCTCTTGCCAAGAAAAAAGTCCCCGCCTTTCTTGACACCTTATTCAGAGCACCGTTTTATTCAGCTCTCTTCCTTTGTTTCTGTTTTCATTGTCCAGAATCATTCTGGCTATCGGCATTCAGTTTCTTCTATTTATATTGCATGTTCTGCCTGCTCCTGAAGTATCTGTCTCCCATTTGGTCTGGGGTTTTCAGGGAGTTTTGTTTTGTTTTTGTAGCATTTAACTTTACAGTAGCCTACTTGTGTCACTCTGTCAAATGAGATCAAGCTATGCTTTTTTGGCTATGCATATTAAAAAACTAACCTGTTTTTTATGTTGTTTCTGTGTCTCATGCCACAAATAGTGTGGATTTGTGACATCTCACATTGAAGCTATTTCAGTGTTGCTATTTATACAATCTTTTAAAACCAGACCAACAGATACATAGATACACACAGCAATTAGTCTTTGAACCAGATTAAAATTAATTTTATAATGGTCGATGTAGAACAAAGATTTGTAGTTTATTTGTACCACGGAGTACTAAAATTATTTAGCACTGAAAAATGGCAGCATCTATTTCTCTGAGAACAATATTAAAAGATGACTTAATATATTCCAGAGTAAGAAATCACTCCTAAGCAATAATTCTGTAAGACAGTTCATGATTTAAATAATTATGCGCTAGAAATGGTGCCGTTCAGCCTGAATTTACAGGCACTTCCAAATACAGGTGATTGTTCACACTACAAAACAACAGAGTCAAAAAATGTATCATAATATGGCTTAACTTACTTACCAGGCAGATGTACTCTGAAAAGACACCAGGGGTGGGCTTAAAGCATCTCCTTTTAAAGTATGTACTGTCTGTGATGTTTGAGGCTGTGGCTGGGTTTGAGGCTCTGTCTCTGGCTGAGGCTGTGTCTGTACTTGGCTTGGATCCTGAGCAGGGTTAATCCATCGGCTCTGTCCCTGTGTCATCCACTTTCCCTGGATTCCCCACCGTGCCAGGTAAAATTTGCAAATATCATAGTTCATTGAAGAGTAATATAAAAGGTCCAGTACCAGCAAGATCACCACAAAAAAGCCGTAGATCCACACTCCTAACAGTGCACTGTAGTTGCTGTGAAAGAAAAAAAGGGAAAACAAAAAAGTTATCTCATGTATCAGTAATGGTCATCATGCTAGTTTATCAAGGTTGTTTGTTTCATTACTTATATAAATATAATATATAGATGGATGAAACAAAAATTTTGTTCTAAAGCATGTGTCCATAAAAGTTATTTAGTATTTCAATTTAAATACTGCTATATGCATGACATGGGACGTTTTTAAAAACTAAGGCTCCATGTCTTACAAACATTTTTATTTCTCCTTCTCATCTGTGTATTTATATCAGCACGTAAATTTGGTGTACAATTCACTTCAATGCTTTAAGTGAGTCCACTGATATGTACATGGTTGATGGCTCATATGTCTTATTCTGCAAATTCTCACTCCCAGAGAGTCACCCTACTGAAAGTGACAGGGCATTTATGAGAGTGAGGGTTAACCATATGAAAATATGCTGTAATAGAGACCGAGGAGTGTCTATACTATTGAAAACATTCACTGCTGACATGCATTATAAACCACTTGTCTTAAAAGATATTTAATGTGTTTGGATTTGCTCTGAATTTAATAACTAATTATTGCTGTATACAGAAGATACTAGTAGAAGTATAGGCTTTCAAGAGCAACTGCTAAAGATCCCCTAGTTTGCTGGTAATAAATTTAGGAAGGAAGAACATTGACAAGATCATATTATACAATGCATTCCACAGGAATGAAAATATGTCCTACATTTATATGTATATGTTGGTGTAGTTATAATGTGTATATATAGGTAAAGGCCATGAAAATTATCAGCTGCTGACATGGTGCACGGAGCTGTAAAGCTATGACAGGTGACTAAAGATATTAAAAGAAAGGGGGGGGGAAGGAGGAAAAGGTATAAAGGGTCAAGAATTTGGAGATCGAAACGGGGAAGAAGTGCTAAAGCTCTGCTGAGATGCAATATTATTAAAAGAAAAATGACTGTCAGGTGTAAATGCAGTTAGGATTGGAAACTGTGTGAGTGGGGAGAAAAAGAGAACAGAGAAGAAAAGAAATGGGTAAGAATGAGATTGTTAGGTATACAGCACAGAAGGCTTATCTAGACCTATGAGCTAATGTGGAAGTATGTGTACCAGAGACTGTAAAAACAAGAGCAGGCAGAAGGGATACTAGTAAAAAATGTCACTAGGAAGACAGTCTTGGAGAAAAATTATATCGATGTAATAGGTGGGCAACCCACATCTACATGAACCTGAACTGATACGAATAAAATTGAACACACACTCAACCATGCTCTTTCACAGACATTCAGAGAAACTTTGAGGGAACTGTATTTTATCAGAAAATTGACCAAAACGGAAGTGCTGTGAGAAGAAAAAAGTCTGAGAAGACATATTATAGATGCAAGCCAGAAAGATATTTTGATATTTTAAAAACATGTCCCAAGCCTTTTCGGATCTAAAGCATTTCAAGTCTCTGCTTTGAACTTCATTTCCATTTAAACTTTTGTACGACTCTTTCATTTTATATTTTAAAAAATCAGGGTTTGAAACAAGAAATCAGATAAGAAATCAGAATTTTAATTTCTGTGTTGCTGCCCATCAGCACTTAAGGAGACTGATTCTCCTCTCCAGGGAATGACTTTTCCACTACACAGATATAACGTGCTTAGATTAAATGAGGTTTCATAGCAAATAACTGTAAGTAACAAGAGGAAGGTCAGAGCTGTTAATGGGTCCCTTCCTGTGTAACTTTAGGATTATGCAAGCCTAGGATTTAAAAAAATTTTCAGTAAACTTCCAGGAGGATTGGAAGCAGACAAAATATAGTGCTTCTGAAAACCCTTAACTCAAGAGTCTTTGCCTCTACTAAAGATTTACACATGCATGCCTAACTTGTGTTAGGCATGTCCAGAGAAGGGCAACGAGGCTGGTGAGGGGTCTGGAGAACAAGTCTGATGAGGAGCGGCTGAGGGAACTGGGGTTGTTTAGCCTGCAGAAAAGGAGGCTGAGGGGAGACCTCATTGCTCTCTACAACTACCTGAAAGGAGGTTGTAGCGAGGTGGGTGTTGGTCTCTTCTCCCAAGTAACTGGCGAAAGGACGAGAGGAAATGGCCTCAAGTTGCGCCAGGGGAGGTTTAGACTGGACGCGAGGAAAAATTTCTTTACTGAAAGAGTAGTTAAACATTGGAACCGGCTGCCCAGGGAAGTGGTTGAGTCACCATCCCTGGAGGTATTTAAAAGACGGGTAGATGAGGTGCTTAGGGACATGGTTTAGTAGGCATGGTGGTGTTGGGTTGACAGTTGGACTCGATGATCTTGGAGGTCTCTTCCAACCTTAATGATTCTATGATTCTAACTTCACACAACAGTGGGTAGACCTTTGTAATGCATTAAAATCTTTGCAGTCCAGGCTCTTGCAAGTATCACGGGATCTGGTTAATCCAGGCTTCTCAGCAGTGCTACTCTTGACTTTCAGTGGATTTATTCCTATTGGGGTAAACTCTTCTATTTTCTGCTGATATAAATAAAAGGGAAGTGAAGGCTGGAGAAGTCAGGAAGAAATCCACTGTAACAAATCCTGTTCTCCTTCATCACTAATGCCAATAGGATCCATTTTACAAATAGGTGAACTGTGTTTGATCCATCATAAGAATGGAAATATTAAAAAACATGTGGTCTTTGTTTTGGCAACAGTGTGAGGGGCAGGAACATTTCTTATAGTTAAGTCAAAAGAATTTGTATTTTAGGTATTTAGTTTCACCCATCAAAATTTTGGTTAGTGAAAATTAGAGCTATTTTGAGTATTCCAATTTAAAGCAACAATTTATTAATCACACCGTATGAGTTACCCATCTGCTCCTTCTAAATAACATCTGTTTCTCACAAGTACAAAAATGAAAGACTGCTTTATTTTAATTAACAGACAGTGGGACAACAGCACTATCAAAAGGGCCTTGTGAAAAATCACAAGCAAAATTAATAAGTAGCATGTTTTGAACACAGAAGGAAATTCCATACTTTGATGTTTTCTGTTTCTCAAACTACTAAGATGGCTACTAATTATAGTAAAAATTAAAACTTCCCTACAAATTAAGAAGATGTCTTAATTAGAAAATAAACAATCATACTTACACTGAATAACAGTAAGGCCAGAGACACAGAAAAGATCTGGGAATCAAAAAACTCCTAGGACTTGCTCTCATTTCATTGAACTGAACAATTTAATTGTAAAAATGTCATCTTGCAATCTGATTTTCCTGTACTTTTGTGCAGAAATTTCATTTCAATTAAAAATAAAGTGTGAACAGATTCCAAATTTACTGAGATTCAAATTATAGGGGTTTGTTCCTTCACAGGGACAATCAAGTATAATAAGTTGTCTTGGTGTGGTGGTATCTCCTCTCCCCTTCCCCAGCTGGAAAGCTTGCCCTGCCCTGCTAGTGCTCCTGCCCCTCCCAATCAGTCACTTTGGAGGTTTCTGTTTAGGTTCAACACAAGGTTTAGCAATATAACACTGAAAAGGATTTCTAAAGCTATACTGCCCAGTCCTCTGCTGCTGCTGGCACACAAATACAAAAGCTAAATCTAGAGTAAAAGTTACAAGACAATTTCCTTTTAGCTTCTCTGTGAAACAGGGTAATTCATGGACCTATCAGAAAAGCTTAGTAGCTCATTATTTTAAGGTACTTTGTCTTTTATAGAAATACGATGTATATATGGTATAGCCTTGATACAGAGCCCACTTGTGTAAATGGAAAGATTTGCTCTGACTTCAGGGAGCCTTGAATTGGGCTCTCTGAGAACAATAAATACTTTTACCATCCATTTCCTCCTATTCCATCTACAGAATCCTGCTTAGATTTCTCTAACATCCCTGTACACAAATGAAAAGACAGGTTCTTTTATTATTATTCTTACCCATGTGATTCCTTCCACCTAATTCATTAACTTCTTGAGACAGATGACAAGCAGGTTAGGACCAGGCTATATTTTTTAGAAGAGTTTGTTGGTTTTTATGTGCAGCATATGAACAGAAAATAATTCATTTGAGAATTCAGGCTTGAAAAACCAACAAATCAAAACAATTGTGAGCAGAATTCTACAGCTGCAGAGTTTAAATGTGGACAGATGGCCATGGAAACTGTTCCTTTCCCTATTATCCTTAAACAGGGCTGTAACTTGCAGTAGTAACACTTTTTAAGTGTTGCCCCAAGGAAAAGCAAGCTTACATCCTAGCAAATGCCTTGGTACTTCTAACACTGAGGAAATCTGTGCAGTTTTTGCATGTACACTTTAAACGTGGTGGGTTTGTTTCCTATTTTGTTTTTAATATTATCTCAAGCCTTTGCCCAATCCTGTGTTTTCCTGTAGAATCTGTTTCTGCAGTACCTAAGAGGTCTTCCCAGCTATATTACACCTTTTTGCAACAGCTGGTAGTGGAATTGATTTTTTTTTTTTTTTTCCTTCTTTCTTGTAAAGATGACTTTCTGGGAGATATTTAAGCAAATGCCAGCTCTGCAGGGGACATGGTGTACATGGAGAAAGATAGTGCTATTCTATCCTTACATTGCTTTCGGTGCAATGTTGTAGTGTGGTGTGCAAAAGCCATTCAACCCTGAAAAACTGGAATAAGAGATAAGGAAAGACACGGATGCATTACAGACTGCCATAACACTGTTCCAGTATCAGATTAAGGACTCCTAGCATAGTAGGACTGCTGATAATCCACCAAAACATGTGTAATAGAAAATCTGGGAGAGTATGAATACTGTATTCAAGTGAATACTATTTTTAAGAATAGTTAAACCACTTATTAGACCAAGTTTTATGGAAAAATACTTAGGATGGCAGAATTTTTCTTGTCTGTTAGACATCATTGGTATTTCTATATTTAATACAAAATGAATTGTTCACATTCAAAAATATTATAGACTGATTAACCTGCGGGATCGCAAAGATATAATAGCCCAGTATTCTGCATCTATAAAAACATATAAATCTTTTGTTATAGTAATGGAAAAATGTAAATAAACCTGGCTATAGTTATATTGTGTGACTATAGAAGACAAATGTGTTTCTTCAGCTGTGCCATGACAAAGCAGTTACAAGTCACTTCATTAATTTTTTCCCTCAAGTGTATTATAAAACAAGAAATTTTGTTTTGACAATCACAAAAATGGCTAAGGGGAAAAATAAACCAAATAATAATATTGAAATAAACCAAATAATAATATTGAATCACTCTTCCCTGAAAACTATAATCCTTTTTTTCAGTTCATTGCTATTCCCATATCCTAAATCATTCTCCCCAGCCACAGTACAATAGGTTTCATCAGAATTTTTTTCAGTGGTGTGTGAAATTAGATCTAAACAAAGAGCTGACTTTGTTATTGTAAAGCGAACCTGGATGTATTAGAATCCAAATAAATTTAAATTATCATATACGTTAAATAAAGTCAGAGTGTATTAAGATGCTTTTTACAATGTTTTTAATGTAGACATCTAGGCTTCACTTCTTTCTGCCCCTCCACAGCATACTAAAATTATCAGGAAGTTTTCTACCAATCTCAGTGAGCTCAGGGTAGGGAGATCTCTCTCCCTCTGTCTCACTACATTGGTGGAGCTTTACATAGAAAGTTAGCGTCTCCTCATTTTCCTGGCCCTGACTGATTTATCAGAAGTGATGTTTCAGGAAGTTACAAAAAGGCAATACCGGTTCCATTCTTGCACTTCTCTAAGCTACATCTCCAGAAGCTTTTTATTGTATTTAGCATGATTTCACATACCTTTGCAAAAGATCAGCACATAGCTAATGTCCACAGGAAATTCTGGACTGAAGACATACATGGTAAATAGCCTGCAGGTGGTTCTCAACCATGAATCTTACCAAAGACTACAGAAGTAGCTCTTTCCCCATCACAACTGAATGAGGTGACTTAAAAAAAAAAATGATTGCTAAATGAAAACTAATATAATACTTGCACTATGCTCTAAATATTTTCATTAAAATAAATACTGTAGTTCATAGAATACCAAATTACCTTTTTCCCATTGAGGAACTGCTCACACCCACAACAGCCCTATAATATGAACAGCCCTATGTTTATTTCTGTGGGGGTGTGTGCACGTGTGTGTACACGTACAGATGTGAGCAGGCATGCAAACAGAGAATGCAGGAGACAGAGAAATGTTCTACATCCCAGGGCATATTTTGCAATCAGACTGTTCCTCTGTGCATGTCTGCTTTGGAAAGTGACTGATTTCCCTGTCCATTTCAGGTTGTTGGTGAAAGGAAGAACAGAAGGGCCTTACCTTGGTAAGCTCTGGCCATGACTATACGGAGTAGCTGCTGAGATATTGGAAAAAGCCTGAAGCATTGGCTTTCTACTTGGCTGAACTACAACTGGCCAGTAACATCCCAAACTCTGTGATGTAGCTGCCTGTTAGGCAGACTTGGTTGCTCAGCAGTGTTGGTGCAGGGTTTACAAAACAGTAAGAGAAGAAATAAAGCAAATATGCTGTGTGCAAGACAAAGAACTGGGAAAGCGTGGGGGCGATAGCCACATTAGTCCATTCTTGAGACTCTCTTTTTATCACTCTGAGTATGAACCAGTTTCTGGCTCTGTCTGCGACTACACACACAGCCCTTCTGTACTCAGAGTCCTGTGAGGACCTCTCTTCAGGCAGGCATCCAATTGCTGCTGTGGTAGCATGGTCATCCCAGTAAACAAAGGGGGAGCACATCCTACTTTTACTACGGAGCATATGTAGAGTATGCATTGCATGGGGGCACTGGGGCATACTGTGGTATGAACTCCACCAGGTTGCCTGGAGGCATATAAGTTGGCAGAGTTGGGTAGCCCCAGGTGAGGGTGCTACCAGTTTCTAGATTGTCCAGACTGCACAAAGGGTGGAGAAAATGGATGGTCTTTAATGGGCCTGTTAGACTTGAAGTGTCTTCCCAGCGTTCTGTGTGATATGTTCTCATGATGTTCCCAGATGCACTACAAGGCCAAGGCAAGGAAATTCCACTTCAAGGACACAGCTGCACATCCAGTAACAAGACAGTATAGACCCACATTGATTTAAAGGTATCTTATATGGGTGGAGTCTATTTTTGTCTTTCTTTTACGCTACACAGTAGACAGACTTCTTTGTAGTAGGTGGTTATCACTTTAACACCTGTAAAGTTAGAGTGTGCAACTTCTACATCTATGCAAGATTCAAACTTCTCTAGGCAGAGCTGTATGAGGAGTGGTTGTTAAGCAAGATGACAGTTAGCTGACTCCATGCGCGGGCTGCTGCTGGACACAGCTGCAGACAGTGAGTTAAAAGAGCCGACATCAGTATTCCAGTGCCATAGTCTCCTAGCAGCCTTGCGCCTGCTTCCATAGGAATGAATGACAAAACACCCACTGACTTTTGCACCACAGAAGAAAACACTAAAATCCCTGTTGTAAACAAAACCCAATAGACTGGAATTCCAGTTGTCTTTAATCTACCCTTTCCTTGCCCTGGAGGGGCTGGATACCAGAATAAAATGGCAGGGGAAAGCAGATAGATCAGAATTCGACCTTGGGGTTTTACATCAGCTGAAAGTTGCCCTCTGCACCGAGAGAAATTGCAGCAGATTAGTGTGGCCAGAATGTCAAATACTAAATAAGAGACAGACCACAAGTGAAGATTTTGTCATCGTAAATAGGTAATCAGTATAAAAGATCTACTTGCTACTTATTGGTTCTTTGGAGAAAAAGTTACTGACATTTATCTTAGGGGATAGGCCCCAGCAGTACATGGAAGTATCCCAGGTAACACGCAAGGAGACCACACAATGTTGGTGTATAAGCAAATACATTCTGTTCCCCAAGGTCAGTGATTACAAGAGATTTATATTCAAAACATCAGAGATTCAAAACAGTGCATTTGGGTTGATACGGAAAATGTCAACTCACTCCTTCTCTCCCCTATGGACAGCTTTAGGGTTTATTTTTACTGATATACATTTAAACATAGTTTGGATCAGATTGGGGTCGGGGAAGAGACTTTTGTGACTTTTACATGTAACTTTATATTTGTTACATTTATATGCAACTTTTACATACATGCTCTCCTAGCAATGTTTACAGCCCATGTCAAAGCAAAGAAAGCAAAGCTAAAATATCCTTTCTTTTAGGAGCTCTGTAACAGCAAAAACCTTCTAGTAATCTTTTTCTGTATGTGCAATTATTCTAATTGCTTCCATCATTAAGTACACCTCAGACTATGTTATTAGACCAGGAACAGTTTGGTGAAGAGTACTTTAAAACTCATTTACTTACTTATGCATATATCCATCTGCGTTCCCTGTTAAGTTCATCTGCATAACAGTCTGAAATTCTGTCTCATTGCAGCAGTATTTAAATACTGTGTTGTTATGGTGACAGCAAAAGATGTAAGATTTATTGTCAGAAAGACGGGGGCAGTGAAAACCAAAGTGGTAGCGACCTTTGTAGTCCGTATATGGCTCGCAGACCCGAAAATGTGCGGACAACACTGCAAAACAAAGAACAATATTGGCTTTGTAAGTCACTTGTGTTATCTGTATGTTATGAACTATATTTTTGCACTGGTTAAGCTTAAACAATTGTTGTCTGATTTCTGAAAAACATTAATATTTCAGAACTTTCAACATCATAACATTTAGTACTAAAAGATTACAATAGTTAGCCTCTTGTTGTATTTTGACTTTTATTGTTATTATGTTTCTGATTACTATTATTACTTTTAAGGGAAGAGAGGAAATGCCCTCCATGCCAAGAAGCTCAAAAATATTTAGGGAAATGTTTCTGTACTGCTGTTCTAAATATATGAATATCCATAAACACCCAACAATGTTCACGTTTGATTCTCTTGGGATGGCTTCATAAAAACAAAAAGTCTATGTAAAAACAGCAATAGAAGTTTGGCGACACTTGATTTACAGGCACTGTTCTTGACAGAAAACATCTTCTCTACTGTAAAGGTCACTCTTTGATAAGGATTATTCTGCCAGAAATAGTAATTACAAACAGTATAACAGATCTGAACAACTTGGAATTTGCAAATAGATAGAACTAATAGAAATACAGCTATTCCTGGGAGTTCTTACATTTCTCCTTTATTAAATCCTCATGTAAAGTGTTTATTACATCTCTGAGAACATTTTTTATAGGAATATGTCACACTGATTTCACCAGTGCTTTTCCTGGAAAAAAAAAAAAAAAAAGAACAAGAAATGCTCTCCACGTATACCCTTTGAATGCAGACTTGAGGCTGATCGTTGTGTGGTGAGAGGCACACTGTGATTACATCTACATGGTAAGACTGTGGGCAGATGCAAGCTCTCTGACCATGTTCTAAGCCTACTGGTTGCAAACAGCTCCAAACTGGAAGCTGTGCAACCATCTTAGCTTCCCTGAGCTAATCAACTGTTCAGAGGGGCAGGATATAGATCCCTTCCAGTATGGTCATAAGCAACCACACGCGACTCCTTGGTTGATCTGAAAAGTCTTGTAAGAAACAATATTTCGTTCCACACACTGCCAACATTTTAACTGATTCATAGTTTGCATTATGGTAGGCCTTATGGCATCATTTAAGATTACATATACCATACAGACCGCCCAAAGGCCTTACACTCTAAGGAAAGTGAAATGTAGAAGTCAAGAGTCTGAATACTCTCAGCAGTGAAATGTTTTTACTCTGATTAGAGAACAAAGGCACAGTGATGCAGTGGGTAGCTGCGCTTCATAAGGTTACACCAATTAATAAAGGATATTCACTTTAGACTGACAGAATTAACCCTTGTAACTTGGTGTATGATTTTTGTATCAGTTACCAGTACAAGAGGTTACAGATAATGACGTGCATGGATTTAGCTTAACTGTATTTTATCTCTCTGCGCATTGTCCTTCTTGATCTGCAATTGCATCTGTGCACCTTATCCATCTAATCCTCATTTCTTTCTATGTTTCTTAAAAAAAGCCTATTCCTAACACTTTTGTTTCTCAATTTTATAAACTATATTAATTTCAAGAATCTCTCACTCTCTGTAGGTCTAGTCACATTTTAAGCATTGTGACAGTGGAGATTACTTCTTTATTTGTGTGTATAAAGGAAGCCTAGAACAAAAAACAGAGTACTAAACTGAAGAGAAAACAAGGTAACTTGTACTGCCCTCTGAGTGAAGGAAAACCACTCTAAACATTTTACATTTTTTTTATATATATACACACACTGGCACGCGTGCACCTCTTCCCCCTCTCCCCCCCCCCATCATTACTTTCACAAAAGAGAAAATCCTTTTGTAGATTAATTCAGTCAGGAACTGAAAGTGCTAGAAGAATGCTATTTCTGAAGGAACATAGATATTGAGAAAACTAATTACATATCTGTTCTTGCCCTGCCTGGGAAAAATGTGTGTTCCAAATCTGAGGATGCTATAATCAGTAAAGAAATTGTCCTTCTTTAGACTTAAGTTTTCAAAACCCTCTGTAATTCTTGCAGCAAATCTCCATGTTCAAATTCTGTTGCAAAATCCACAAAGCATGTAATTGCATGAACATATATTTGTTTGAACAAGTACTTAGGTCCCTGCAACCTCCCTTAATTAATGCAGCAATAATGAAAGTGTTCCAGGACTGATTAAGTTTTGAAAAAATTCAATGGTTGCGGTTGGAAGGGACCTCTGGAGGTCATCTGGTACAACTCCTCTGCTCAAGCAGGGCCACCTAGAGCCTGTTGCCCAGAACCGCGTCCAGATGGCTCTTGAGTATCTCCAATGATGAAGACTCTACAACCTCCCCGGGCAACCTGTGGCAGTGCTCAGTCACCCTCACAATGAAAAAGTGTTTCTTGACGTTCAGAGGGAACCTTCTTTGTTTCAGTTTGTGCCCATTGCCTCTGGTCCTGTCACTGGGCACCACCCAAAAGAGCCTGGCTCTGTCTTCTTTAC